TTGTCCCTTTACAATTTTTTTCTAGCAATGTTTTGATTTGGTTGACATTTTCAACTTTCATGGCCTGAAATCTGTTGGAACACTGTATTTTGAGACAATTATAGATTCCCAAATAGTACACAGAAAGTCTCGGTGCATTATTCCTTCCGGCCTTCCCCAAAGCAGACATCTGCATAAACACCATGCTAACAAGTACAGCCATCACTTGTTCAATGCACACAGATGATGCAGATGCTACCAGATGTGCCTGCACTCACATGTGTGAGTATGAATGCACATGTGCGTACTGCCTGCCTGAGTGTGCCTGTGGGTGCGTGTGTGTGTGTGTGTATGCGTGTGTGTGGCTTCGCATAACTACCACTGCAATAATCAGAACGTCATCCCCACTGCCTCCCTGATGCTTCTTAAAGCCACAGACCCCACCTCCCCAGATGACCACACAACCCTGATCTCCTCATCTCTACATTCTCCATCTTCCTTTGGGAAGGAGTGAGACAGGGCCTCGTATAGCCTAGACTGGCCTTAAATTCCCTCTATAGCTGAGGATAACTTTGAACTGATCCTCTTGTCTCTACTCACAATTTGGAATAACATTCATTACACCTAGCCAACCAGTTTGGTTTTTGTTGTTGTTTGTTTTGGGGTTTTTTGTTGTTGAAGTTTGTTTATTGTTGTTGTTGTTGTTGTTTGAGACAGGGTTTCTCTGTGGCTTTGCAGCCTTTCCTGGAACTTGCTCTGTAGACCAGGCTGGTCTCGAACTCACAGAGATTCTCCTGCCTCTGCCTTCCGAGTGCTGGGATTAAACGCATGCACCACCATGGCCCACCAACCATTCACTTCTTAAGGCACATTTTCATCTATTACACTTGGTGATAATATGAACAAAAAGATGTTTGAAAAGGTCATAGAGAAACATTATTTTGTTTACTTAAACATACATGTACACTTATGCACATACATATAAACAATTAAAGAGAAGGTCATGACTTTGGGAAGGAGCGGGTTGGGATATGGAGAAGTGAAAATAATGTAAATAGAGTACTCACGTATGACATTCTCAAAGAAATGTTTAAATAAAAAATAGCTGCTATGTATTCACTCCTAGAATCCCAGCACTCAGGAGGCTGAGGCAGGAGTGTTCCTCCGAGTTTGAGACCACCATGACTATGTACTGGGTCCAAGGAGAGTCTGGGATATAGGATAAGTCTCTGGCAGGGGGAGGAGTAGTGGGGAGAGAGCGAGAGGAGAGCCTGACCCTCCATGTGTGAACATGCATTTGAGCGGATGTGGCTTTTCATTTCTTTGGGACGAATGCAGAGACTGCCCTTGGTGGCTGTGTGGCAGCTATGTATTTAGATTCATTCCTAAGGAACTACTCCACCTTCCTCCCGAGTATCCATTTATCCCCTAGTCCTTTGCCAGCATTGTTTTTGATTTTTGTGATCTGCTTTGCCAGACTTTCCATCTTCTCCAAGAAGCCCTTGGCCAGGCCTCTCTCACATCTCCCACTGCCCATTCAATCTCTGCTCAGAACTGTGTTTCCTTCCTTCAGCACAGTCCCTTGGTTTTCAGTACTACAGCTGTGTCTTCAGGGCAGTTCTCAGGCCATTGACATCCCGCTCGCCAATGTTAGAACAAAAAGAACAAAACAAACAAAAACATAGAGTCTGATTTGAGTGGGCCACCTGCTCCTGAGCATGGGGTCTCCCCTGGAGTGTGCCAGATAGACCTAGTGACACTCCATCGGAGAAAACTAATTTCCTTTCTCAGCATACATCACTAGCTAATAGCGTCTTGGTTAGGGGCGGAGCTTTGTGTCCACTTCCCCTTCTCGGTGCTGGAATATTGTCTAATTTGAACCTGTGCAGATCTTATGTGTGCTGTCACAATGTCTGTGAGTTTGTGTGTGCATCCATCCTGTTGTGTCTGGAAGACACTGCTTCCTTGGAGCCATTCACCACCTCTGGATCTTAAAATCTTTCCGTCACCTCTTCTGTATAGATCCCTGGTCTTCAGTGGAGGGGATTAATGACATCCCATTCAGGGCTGAAGACTATGTCATGAGTGAGGCAGATCTTGACATCTCATTGTTAAATGTCAAGTTTAACTAAGGCCCATGAACAAGCCAAGAGTTGTGTCTCAAAGGGAGCATGGTTGTCTATAGATGATGATAGGGCTACATTCCAGAATAACAAGGGTCTCCCCTGTGATAGCCTACAAGGACCTGCCAACGACTCCAACCAGCATCTCTACCTGCCTCTACCACCTTAAATAACCATCAAATCTGCTGGATCATATGGTCCAAGCAGCAGAGCAGCCTGCAGAGCAGCTGGGTCCCACTCAAAACTAGCAGCTTTCTGAGTTTATTTGGTATAGAGACTAAAGCTAGACACCCAAGTAAGGAGTTTGCTGCCTCCAAAATACAAAATGCTTTACTAACAAGTCCTGAGTACCTGTCACTTTCCAGTTCCTTAGTCCTATTAGCATAACGTCATCAATGTAACGGGTTAGTGTGATACCTTGTATATCAGGTTCCCTGCAAACTAAACTATGACACAGGGCTGGGCCTTAATATGCTATTAAGGGAAAATTGCAAAGGTTACTGCCTTGACAGCTGAAAGCAAACTGCTTCTGATGGCCCTATGGACAGGTTTCCAGAAAAAAAAAACTTGCCGGACCAATGGCTGAATACCAGGTACCAGGAGATGCGTTAATCTACTCAAGTAAGGAAGCTGCATCTGGCATTGCTTCTGTGACTGGAGTCACTACTTAGGTTGCCACAGTCAACTGCCGTTCTCCATAATCCATCTGTCTTTTAAAGCACAGGCTAACAGGGGGAGTTCAAAGGAGATATGGTAGGAACCACCACCCCTGCATCGTTCAATTTTTCCTGCTTTATCTATGCATTGCATCACTTTGTTTATGAGTGTTTTGCCTGCTTGTATGTCTGTGCACCACATGCATGCTGCCTGGTGCCCATGTGAAGAGGGCATTAGATCCCCTGGTACTAGAGATACTGACAGTTATTGATGTGGGAGTGTCATATATCAATCTGTTGATTTCATTGGTTAAGCAATAAACTGCTTGGCCCTCATAGGTTAAAACATAGGTGGGAGGAGTAAACAGAACAGAATGCTGGGAGGAAGAGGAAGTGAGCTCAGACTCGACAGCTCTGCTCTCTGGAGAGAGACACCATGCTCCCATCTCCAGGGCGGATGCGAGAGCTCTGCTCTCTGAGGCACACGCGATGAAGCTCCGACCCAGGATGAATGTAGGCTAGAATCTCCCTGGTAAGCCACCTCATGGGCTACAGCAGATTATTAGAAATGGGCTGGTCCAGGTGCGAGAGTTAGCCTAGAAGAGGCTAGAGCTAATGGGCCAAGCAGTGTTTAAAAGAATACAGTGTCTGTGTAATTATTTCGGGGTATAAGCTAGCCAGGCGGCCGGGGTGCTGGGGACGCAGCCCCGCTGCTCCTATTACAACAAGTTATGAGCTGCCATGTGGGTGCTAGGAATTGAACTAGGATCCTCTGGGAAATCAGCCAGTGCCTTTAACCTCTAAGACATCTCTCTAGCCCCTCTCATTAAAAAAGAAAATTAATGTTAGTAAGGGTGTTTTGCCTACAAGGGTATCCATGAATCACATGCGTGTGGTGCCCTTGGAGGCCAGAGGAGGGGGGCATCAGATCTCCACGAACTGGAATTACCACCAGGTGAGTGCTGTGACCAACCCTATAAGTCCTATGCCAGAGTAGCCAAGTGCTCTCAACCACCGAGCCATCTCCCCACCCACTCTACCCCTAGCATCTTGCAAAGCCTTACTGGTGGCATTAATTTCCATAATCCTGCCAGGGTATTTTCTCTTTCTGGTTCATGATTTTTCCTGGTAGAGGCAACTAAGGGCTTCCATTCGGCCTTTCGGACCATAATAGCCCTCATTCCACAGGTCTGACAAGCAACGCTGGGGTGCTGCCAATCTCTAAGTATATCTCTCCCACTGGACAGAGTTTGTGGGTCCATTGGACCCACTGTGAGTCAGACTTTGGCAGAAACTCCATCCACCACCTGACCTCCACAGGCCCTAACTTAACTGGATACCCATGACACTTTGGAGGCGGTCTCCAGAACCAGTGTCAGTTCAGAGACAGTCTCTAACAGGCCCTGAAAAGACTGGTTATTTCCTTTTCCTGGATGTGAGTTACTCTAATCAAAGCCCATGGGTTTCTTTGGAGAAAGATTGGTTGACTGTAAAACTTTCTGAAGTGTGACACAGTCTCCTGAGGGGGACCTGCTTCTCCTTCATTCAAGAGGTTCTGGCTCTGTAAGCTGCCATGTCTGGGCATTTGTTGAGAAACTGTGATCTATGGTCGCTACAATTCAAAGTAAACTTTTAAAACTGTTTACATTTATTTTATATGTATGGGTGTTCCGCCTGCATGCATGTCTGTACACCACTTGTGTGTCGGGTGCCTGCAGAGGACTACAGCGGACACTGGAACCCCTAGGATTGGAGTCACTACAGATTACTGTAAACTGCCATGAGGGTGCCAGGAATTGAACCCAGGCCCTCTAGAAAATTAGTCAGTGCTCCAAAACGCTGAGCTGGCTTCCAATCCCTCAAGGTAAATGTTTCATTTGCTCTGGAATTTGCTTATACAGATGGAGTGGGTGCTAAGTAACTCCTCCCCCATCTATTGCTCTTTTGGGAACACAGACCACTAAACTATCCCAGTTGGACCATAATGGACACTGCTTGGTGTCTCTGCTGTCCATTAGCATAGCATGCTAGGGGGAAAAGAAGATAAAAATTAGCATATGAAAGAAGCCAATGGTAGAGGAATACTGGAAACATCCAACTAGGGGCTGCATCTAAGGGACAGATTACACCCGACTAAAGCTTCTGCTCTCAAATGTTCCAAATGTGGAGCATGTAGCCGCGATATAAATGACCCACAGCAGCTCATGACTGCCCTGGCTGAACGCCATCAGAGCTTCTAGCCTTTCCCAGCTCTCGGTCCACTTCCACTCTTAGAAGGGCCATTCTCTCTCCTCTTATTTTCATTTTAAAGTTACGTTCACTTATTTATTTATGTGTGTGCATGTGCGCACGCTGTACAGTTCTTTAATTCACAAGATGGAATAGCAATGCTATCTCCCTACTTCCAGAGTACCGTCGAGTCCTTAGCAGTTTTAGGTGTAGATGAACTGGAGAGCCAGCTCCAGACACCATCAAGTCCACTAGAGAAATTCATCCTTAGGATTCTGCTTCTCTAGAATCTGCTACTGGAACTACAAACTGGATTAAATGGAGTTCTTTAGAGACAGAACTAATAGAAGAAACATGGGTTATAAAGAAGGATTTGTTAGATTGACTTACACAAGATGAGTTTAGTCAGAGATGCTGTTTAGTCCACAAAGTTGATCACCTTGGCAGTCCCAGTCTGGTGCTGAAGGTCTGGAGGATTCCTGGAGAGTCACTAGTATGCAGTTCGTGTTGGAAGAAGGCTGAAGACGCTTCAGTCTGACGTCAGAAGAGGACAGTCGCAGCAGAGACAGACACACGGACTCCAGACCAAGGGAAGGCAAGCAACCAACACTGCTTTTCTTTAGACTTTTTTGTACTGGGTCACCTGCTGGAAGATACTCACTCCTTCTGGGTTAGACCACTCTGGAACCACCTGTTAGAAATAAAACCTGGTAGTTCATTTCCAAATGGGCCCTGAGCAACCTTAAATCCAGTTACCAATGAAAAGAAAACACTAGACCCCTGCTAATGCCTGCTAGTCCAGCTATTCTCTCTTCACAACCCAATATATCCAAACTCTCCTAAGCTGTGCACCATCTCGGAATTTAGAGTTTATGACTTCTACCAGACAAGCCTCCCTGCAAGATGGTGCGTCTGATAAGCATTAAAATAAACAGGCTCTAAAACACAGAGCGAACCCACACAAGGTTTTTGTCAAGAAAAGCCACAGAAGGAAGATAAGACCTAGATAACATGTAAGCTCCCACCTTCCTGGGTATTCATAAAAGGGAGGAAGGACCATTGGTTTAGAAAACATTCTCTGCATTCAGTCGGTGTGCCTGCCACGCCAGGCTGGTGTCCAACTGTTGAAGAGTTAAGATGAACTCCTGTGTTTCTGCTGCTCTGAGTCTCCAGGACTCCTATTATGAAGTGAGGATCACTTTCTCCTCACCGATGTCACACAAGTGTGTCTCCTAGGTGATTCAGATCCTGTCAAACTGACAGTAAAGATTATCTATCACACACTGGCCTGGTGCAGGAGGAGTGAGTGGCCCACAACCATGTCCAGGCCTGACATGTATGTCTTTGGTCCGGGCTTTTCACCTCCACTGTGACCTAAGAGGTCCCTAACTTGCTGGTGCAGGTTGTGATGGAGGAAGACACTAAACCACATAAGACAGACACCCACGATTTAGCCCAGTGTGATGGTGGCTTTGATATGCCAACTTGACTGACTGGAGGTATTCAGATCAAACCCTTCCTCTGCATGCACATCCCCGAGGGTGCTGCTAGGAGCAAGTAGCAAGGAGAAACAGTGAGGCGGGTGGCCCAGCAGGGGTGGCGCACCTTTAATCCCAGCACTTGGGAGGCAGAGACAGGCACATTTCTGTGAGTTCAAGGCCAGCCTGGTCTATAGAGCAAGTTCCAAGATGGGCTCCAAAGCTTCAGAGAAACCTGTCTCAAAAAACGAAAAAATTATATATAATTTCCTATTACAAAAATTTTCCAGTTGTTATTTTACAACTGCAGTTTTGTCATTGTTATGAATCTTAATGAAAACATATGACATGCAGGTGGTCCTAGGTTACCCCTGTAAAAGGGTTTTTTTTTTTTTTAACCACCAAAGGGTCGAGACTCAATGGGCTGAGAAATTGCTTCAAGCCCTTTGCTAGACTCCTTAGATCATTGTCTTGCTGCATTACAAGAAATGAACATCCCGGTTTCTGGTTAGCATTTGGTGCTTATGGTTCTGACCCTAACTTTTAACCTTTTATTTTAAGTTCAAAGATTAACAATATAAAACATTTTATAAGCACAGATGTCCCACAGCCTTATAAATTCAAGTATTTTAAAAACCTTTTTAAAAATTAAAAACTCTTAAATGTGTTCCTGCAATGTCAAAAATAAAGTACCTCTTTGCTCCCCGCTCCCCCCTCCAAAAAAAAAAAAACAGTGAGGTAGATAACCTTCCTAGGCCACTGAGATCCAGAGTAGAAAATAGGGGAGAAATTAATTTACCTCCTTTTTGCTGCTTCATCACTGGAGCTGAGGCATTGGACTTCTCCTGCCCTCAGACAAGATTCACACCACCGGACCTCCTGATTCCTGGGCATCTGTCTATGGACTGAATCACACAATTGAGGTCCCTCATTTCCAGATGCAGATAAGAAGTGTGGGACATATGAATCAGATTTTCACTTTAGATGATTGGTAAGTAAAACAGGGAGGTAGGAAGGTAGATTAGATAGATAGATAGATAGATAGATAGATAGATAGATAGATAGATAGACAGATAGATAGGCAGACAGATAGATAAGTAAAGATGATAGGTGGTATTTTAGTTACCTTTCTGTTGCTGTGATAAAATGCCCTGACAAAAGTAACTTTAGGAAGAAAGGACTTATTCTGACTCGTAGTTGAAAGTACAATACATAATGGCAGGGAAGTCTAGGCAACAGGAGCCTGAAGGACCTGGCCATGTTGTCTCAGAGCAATGACTATCTTTGCTCAGCTCACTTTCTCTTTTTCATACAGTTCCAGATGCCAGCCAAGGGAATGGTGCCATCTACAGTGGGCGGGTCCTCCCATTTCAATTAACTTAATCTAGATAATCCCTCACTAGTGTGTTCAGGGACTTGTTTCCTAGGTGATTCTAGATCCTGACAACATTACACATCCTGGATGGATGGATGGATGGATGGATGGGAGGATGGATGGGAGGATGGATGGGAGGATGGATGGGAGGATGGATGGATGATTAAGGGGTGAATGGAGAAACAGATGGTAGATGGATGGATAGATGGACAGAATGTAGTTATGCATAACTTATTAAATACATACACACATTATCTGGAGAATGCTGACTAATATACATTTTTGTGCCGAGAGCATTTTCTAGAATTGATAGTCTGGTCTCTCTTGATTTAAAATACTAATAACTCTATTATTAGTACTAAGAAGTTAGGAGTTAAGTAACTCTGCATATGAAACTTCTAAAGAGTTCTTGAAAGCTAAGACATCAGTCCTTTGCTCCTAATATTTCTCGACCAGGTGACCAAAAGGATGAGCTCAGGGTTTGCACTTCCTATCAAACATCACACAGATGGTCTACAAGTTCCTTTGCTGTGAAGGATAGCCTTGTCTCCTGCAGATTCAGAGAGGGAATGTGCTGAAAGTCAAATACAGAACCTCATTTTAGACTCACTACCTCACAATGCAAGGTAAATCCACTATTGAAAAGAGGACATTGACTGGGAAAGAATAGATCCTGAAAGCTGGGATGGGGTCACGTGGGGAGACCCTCATAAATCTGGGGACACCAAGACCCTGTGTTCTGATGAACCTCTCTTGCCAGCACGTGTGGTTCCCATGGGCAGGAGAGATGGCTTGGTGGTTGAGAGCACATATCGCCCTTCCAGAGGACCTGAGTTCAACTATTAGCACCCATGTCAGATGACTCACAACTCCCTATAACTCTAGCTCCAGGGGATCTGACATCTCTGCCCTCTGTGGGTAACCCCTCCACATATGCAGTATATGCTCACACATATACACACAATTAAAAATAAAATAATGCTTTAAAATCAAAGCAGTGGCTCCTACCCCATAGATGGGGCCTCCCTGTCCACCTGAAGGAAGTCTATGATGCCCAAGGCAACAACAAGGACCAGGCAGGACAACACTGGTCCCTTCCAACACCACCTCTCCTTGTATGTTCTACTTTGCTCTTCTATTGCTGTGATAAATACCATGACCAAAAGCAACTTGGGGAAGAAAAGATTTGTTCAGGTAGCATTTGTAGGTAATAGCCTATAACTGAGCGAAGTCAGGGCAAGAGCTCAAGGCAGGAACCAGGAGTCAGGAACCATGGAGGCACACTGCTTACTGGCCTGATCAGTCCATGCTCAGCTGACTTTCTTATGCAGCCCAGGCTCACCACTCTAGAGATGGCGACACCCGCAGTGAACTGGGCCCTCCCACATCAATTATAGGTCAAGACAGTCTCTCACAGATACAGCCATTCTTTAACGGAGGTTCCCTTTTCGCTAGGTCTGTGTCAAGTTGACAATGAAAACTAACCAACACAATTGTTTGCAGACTTACAAGTAAAGATGTGTGCCTATGCAGAACAGTGTGTGACCCATAAGGACATGCACTACACATTAGAAGAATTGAGTTCCCCATTTTATACAGACAAGAAATTTAGTGAAAAGGAAATCATTTGATCTCGTGTGGTAATAGACATCAAATGAGACAGAAGGTAGGACAGGGTCAAGCATACAGTTGGATCATGACAGATATATCAGTATGGGAGCACTGGACACAGATCTGTGTCTAATGATGCAGCTCCAGGAATCATGAGGATTAAAGCCAGGCCCAGTGGTGTTCTCCTTTAATCCCATTACTGAGGAGACAGAGGCAGGCAGATCTCTGAATTTAAGACCATCCTGATTTACAAACCAAGGTCAGTCAGAACTGTATAGTGAACCCTATCTCAAAAAAAAAAACCTAAACAAAAACAATTATTAATTGGTTAGTTAGCTAGTTAGTAAGTCAGACTGATTTTTGTGTGTGGGGATTACATAGTGGTCCACGTGAAGGAATCAGAAATAGGAGACTTAGATGGTTTTATGTAGAGGGGTGAATGAAGGACATAGGAAGCTGAGTATTCTAGGTTAGATTCAAGTTGTTAAACTCGTTTGCCCAAAAGGTTGACCTTCACCATGACTATGAGAATCAGACTTGGGGCAAGGGGGAAGGGGCAGTATCCTTCCACTGCTCTGTGACTGCTCATCTCTAAAGGCTACCTTACACTGAAACCAAAGCTAGTCAATTGGAAAACTCAAATTCAGTGACAGTCATTGGATCTCAGGGTGACAAGGGCCATGTGGGGGTCCTCAGTGGGCATAAGCATAGTGACCGCAGTTACTATAATGGGGTGCAGAGACAAAGCCATAGTCCGAGCAGTCTGGTTAGTGCAGACCTGTGGTGCTGGCTGGATTGATCATGGATTTCCTTTCGGGAAACAGAGAGAATGTCTGCTAACTTCTTGTTTGATCTTTCTATGGAAAACTTCCAGGATCTGTGAGCAAAAGTGTAACTTGAGTCTTAAAAACAAAAGGTCATAGACTCTAGCAATCCCCAGACAAGAGCCAGTTTATGGATCTGAGCTTCTGCATGAAGGGGAGCCTACAGGAGAAATCCTGCCACAATGCCCATGAGTCTTCTTGTGGCTCTTTCCTTCCCCCAAGTGGACCCAAGATCCTTTCTCAGGGGGACTGCTCTGGAGACGAGGAAATGAGCAGCGTGTTCAGGGCCTTCTCAGAACTGGCTGTCAAACGACACTGACTCCAGAAGACTAGATCTTTATGGTGGCCCCACAGTTCCCAGGACTTACAGCGGGAAGAAAACCCATAGAGCGTCAGGTCTGATCCATCTCATTGAGAACTTATAGGTCCCCAATTCCATTCTCTGATCATTTTCCTAGATCTAGAAAAGAAAAAAAAAGGAACAGATATACTTAGTCAGCAACAGGATATTAGTTGGCTCCCTGACCTAAGCAATAAGAGTTGCTATGGTAACAATGGCCAAGAGAAGCACTAGACTAGAGCCACTTCCAACTGGGGAGCTAGTGAGGTGAGGGCACTGGTACTCCTCAGGGGGACTGCAGACACCATGCAGCAAACTGGAACTGCACAATGCAGGGTGACCCAGACGTGGTGGTACATGCCTGTAAGCCAGGCACTCAGGAGGCAAAGGCAGGGGAGGGTCACCATAAGCTCAAGGTCAGTTTGATCTACATAGCAAGTTCCAGGCCAGCCTAGTCTACAGAGTAAGGCTCTATCTCCGAAAAGTGAAAATGGAGCTGCTAAGATGGCTCGGTGGGTAGAGGCACCTGCCACCAAGATTGGTTATCTGAGTTCCATCCCCAGGACCTGCATGGTGGAAGGAGAAAATCAACTCCCACGAGTTGCTTCTGGCCTTCACATGTGCTCCATGACATATGTACCCACCACCACAGCCCACAATAAATAAACGTTTTTTTTATTAAAAAAAAAAAACAAGAGTAGTAACTTCCATCACCACCATTATGCCACCACACACACACACACACACACACACACACACACACACACACACACTCAGCTCTCCTCCTGGCCTGAGCAGTTGACAGGAGGACACTAGAGGAAGACAGTGGGATCTGCCACAGCTTTGCCCAGGTAGTAACTCCAACCACAGACTCCCTACTGGATGCATGAACATGTGCCCTGGTGATCGGCAGCAATGGCTAACAACACCTCTTTCCCTACCCTTGTCTCTCTACAAGGCCCATCAGAGTCAGTGTGCTTTCATCTGGCAAGGCCACCTTCTCCATCCTTCCTCAGAGTCTCTGCTCTCCAGTCCTGGTCCACAGTTTGGTTCACAAGGAACTTAAGGACCTTTCTGTTCCTCCTCGTCATTGGCCTGTAGCACTGACGTCATGTTGACTGGATCAAGCGACTCAGAAATAGCAACTACTGACTTCTTGGTAAAACACTGGTATGTCAGGGAGGAAAGTCGATTCAAATAAATTACAGCATAAGATACTCAGGCATGTCAAAACATCTCTTCCAGGGAAAGATGAGTTATTACACATGGCTCCCACCCCCAACCAAAAAAAGCACAGCCTCTCATGGGCCTATCCATATTCCTCACTTGGGTGTGTTGCTCAGGTATTTACTAAACTATGCAATGTCCCCAACAGGGGAAGCTCTCCAACAGGTTCAGATGTTCTTCCATGGGGGCTCTTTGACCCTCACAGAAGAGCTGCTAAATTGGGATTGCAGTGGCAGAGGCTTTGGTTTGACCACATAGGGAAACAGCAGCAGACAGCCCTGCCAGATTGCGGAGTGAAGGCCCGCCCTTATTTGCAGACAACCACTTCCCTAATGAAAGTCTGCTCTGGGCTGCTACTGGGTATTCATAGAAACTTGTCTCACACATTACTGTGCATCTTTAGCTGCCCATCATGAACCACACGTCAAAAAGTTGGGTGTGTTCAGCAGCAGCCCAGCCTCAGATGGAAGTGGGCAATCTGATTGGGTCTAAGTGGGCCTTGAAAACACAGAGTAAGTACCAGGATGGTGACCCAGATGTCACTGCTTCATTTCTTCCCAGTTGACAGCTGTAGCCTCATGGAGAGTACCCTACGACGAGTTGGCAGGATAAGGAATGACCTGTGCCTGGCTTACCCAAGTGTAATGGCTAATTTTATGTCAACTGGACACAGAAAGAGTCGTTTTGGAAGAGGGAGCAGATTGGCCTGTAGAAAGCCTGTGATACATTTTCTTGACTGATGCTTGATGTGAGTGGGCCCATCCCTAGGCAGTGGTGTCCCATCCCACAGGTGGTGGTGCCACCCTTGGTTGGAGGATCCTGGGTGGTATAAGAAAGAAGGTTGAGCAAACCACAAGGAGCAAGCCAGTTAGCAGCCCTCCTCCATGGCTTCTACTTCAGTTCTGGCCTCCAGGTTCCTGCCCTGCTTGAGTTCCTGCCCTGATTTCTCTCAGTGACAGGCTGTGGCACCAGGTGTAAGATGAAATAAACCTCTTTCTCCCCAAGTTGTTTTTGGTCTTGGTGTTTTATTGCAATGGCTAGGCCTGGATTATAAATCAATTCTTGGACTACATCTGTGGCTTTGCTGAATGACTAGGGACTTAGAATAAACTTGATTAGAAAATGAATGGCAAAGAAATTTGGGGAAGAAATACAAGCAAGGAGCTGGGATGTGTTCTAGTGGACTTTGTGTTACTGTGATAAACACCATGACCAAAAGCAACTTACGGAAGAGTTTATTTTCACTTACAGGTCCAGACGGATGAGTCCAGCATAGCAGGAAGGCATAGCAACAAGTGGTAGACATGGAGAGATCCGATCTTTAACCATGGAAAGCTGTAAGCACAATGCAGAGAGAGTGATTGGAAGTGGAGCCATAAGCCCTCAGAGCCTATCTGCCCCCAGCCCCAGCAAGACTGCCCTAAACTTCCCCAAACGGCATCACCAACGGGGGACCGGGTGTTCAAATACCAGTGCCTATAAAGGACATTTCTCATTCAGATCACTACAACTAATCTGTCTGGCCACTGAGCCCCAGTGACAGTCCCGCCCTCGTTTCTGCCTCCTCAGCACTGGGATTATAAGCAGACCCCAGCATATCAGGCTTTTTTATGTGGGTTTTGGGGATTGAATTCAAGACATCATGCTTTCAAAGCAAGTACTACCAACTAAGCTATCTCCCCAGCCCTAGACTGGTAACCCTAAAACAGAAATCGGTTTTTCGGGCTTCTAAAGAATGAGAAGTTGAAGATCAGTTGTCTGGGGGAAGACAGATGGCGCCTCCCTGCTATGTCCCAGCACGGAGGGATGAGTGAACATATCCCTCGCTCCTTCTATAAAAGCATGGATCCCATTTGTTAGGATTCTGCCTTCCTAAAATGAGACAACTCCCAAAAGCTGGCATAAAACATCATGTTTCAACCTCGGGGATACTGCAGTGCCTCTGGGACAGGAACACACTTGCCGACAAGTAAAGAACGGCCATAGGCCACATCCATGTAACTCACATGTCTAACTGTGTCGCCACCACTCTGAAGCAGCTGGCTTACAGCTTGAAGATAAGGCACAGCACCAACTGGGTGGCAGTACCTAATAGAGCTGAGGCAGAATTCTCCAGAAGGCTGAATGTTCTCTGACTCAGCATCCCGTGTCCGGTACTGTTTTTCCCACAGTCACGATTCATGGGTCCAGAAATCAAGGGGTGGCTATGGGAATGGAACTACTAACCACCACCCCTGGAGACCCAAGCAAGATTTCTGCTTCCTGTTTGCACAACCGTATGCTCTACTGGCCTAGAAAGCTTGGTCCCAGAACAGGGAGCGCTTCTGCAAGGAGGCACAACAAACACCACAGTCAATCTGAGTTCCTCAGGCTGAGGAGGAGTTAGGGATGGTGGAATGTCTGGGCATGACTACCAGAAGAGATCTGTAGTTCAGGGCTTCCTTAGGGTGTCCCTCGTGTCACCAGGTTAAGATGGATGGAACCACAAGGATTCACAGGCAAGGGAAAAGTGAACATGCCAAAAACTCACCTGCCAGGTAAGAACCAAGAGCAGCCAAGGGCAAATGGGTTGCAGAATGGGCGGTGGAAGACGGCATTTCCAAACGATAGGTAAGGTGACGTGACCAGAGACAGCTGCAAAGATTGCAGCAGCTACAGCACTTCTTCTTTTAATAACGTGTCTAGAGAGATGTCACAGCAGTTAAGAGCACTGGATGCTCTTGCCAAAGACTTGGATATGGTTCACAGTAGCAGCGTGGCAGCTCACAATTGCCTGTAACTTCAGCTCCGGAGTATCCAACACCCTCTTCTGGCTTCCATGGGCAATGCCCACATGCAGTGCACATACATGTATGCATGTAAAACACCCATACACATAAAAGTAAATTAAAAAAAATACTTCAGACAGTTTCTAGCTGAATAGCTCTGGCTGACCTGGAACTCGTTATGTAGACCCAGCTGGCCTTGAATTCACAAAGATCCACCTGCCACTGCCTCCGATGTTCTTGGTTTAAAATTGTGCACCACCACACTCAGAAACTTAATCCTTTTCTTCTTTTAAAGAAAGTGTCTGTGGGTATAAAGTTCACTATGAGGAATCAGCATCTGTTTCCTTCCTATGTCTTCCCTAGCTTATTCCTGAATCACATGACCCATAACCTTTGAGTTATACAGATGTCAAGAGAACAAACATCAACCAAGGACTACATTCTCCTCTCGGGAAAAGTTCAGGGGATACTTGGGATGCACCACATGGTTGGAACATGCTATGTAGAACCATGGCTTTGTAGTCTACTGGGAGATAAAGAGGGATTTAGGGAGATGTTGCTAGGCATGTGACCCTAGCTACACCACTATGAATGTGTCCTGTTGACAAGGACGAACTTGGCAGTTCAGCGTGTCAAGTGGGTTATGACTGACCTGGGTTGTGGACTGCCCAGATAGCTAAAGAAGCATTGCTGTTAAGTTATCTCTGGATGTTTTTCTAGAAGATCCTGAAACTTCCATCAGTGGCTTCGGGGAAGACCCTCCTCACCCAATGTGGGCAGCATCATCTGAACAGCTGAAAGCCCAGATGGAAAATGGTGAAGTTCTCCCCTTGCCTCATCCTCCTGACACACACACTTCTTCTGTGGACTTCAGAGCTCTGGGCTCTCTGGAAGAGCCAAGCATCCAGGACCTTCACTGACAGCCCTACCCCCTGGCTGCAGGCCTTCAGCCTTGGATTGTGTATTAGTTTTTTGGCTCCCCTGATTCTAAGGCATTTGAATTTGGACTCAACCTCAGTAGCTGGTATCTTGGGTCTCCAGACCACATATGGGACTTACCATGGGACTTCTCTGTGTCTACAACCATATATGCCAATGTCCCTAATAAGTCCCTCTCGTCAGTCTCTGTCTCGGGGTAGAGATATAATAAAATGGAGCAGGCCTCTGTGCAGTCTTGACCCTCCTCACTAGAGATGCTCCAGCTCACAGGGCTGCCTCACCTAAGTTCTTGTCCTTCTGGGGGGTCCTTCTAATGACTGATAGAGGGACAAAGGGACAATACCTTTCTCTCAGTTCCTAGTGTCTCTAAAGGGCTGCATCAGCTCCATAGGTGTCCTTGGGCCATTAAAGCTGTCTTGAAAGTCTCCTCCACTCCTCTTTCCAACAGTGGCAGTAGAACAGGGAGCTGTCCCTGGATCCTGGACTTTTGTGGGATGCAAGGAGCCTGTCCTAGGCAGGTGCTGTGGGACTGCCAGGCTAGGGACACAAAGCCTAGGATCAGAACCTGGGCACTATTATGAACAGGAGCCTCCTTACAGGACAGGAAAACATGGACCCTGGGCTTCCTAGATGGAGAAAGAGGAACCAGGGTCCTCAATCTGGCTAGAAAGACAGATGCCCACAGAGACTTGCAGGCCCAGGGCTCCATCCACACCACGGCCCTTCCTGTCTCAGTCCATGTGCAATCTGGGCACTGAGTTAGAGACTGAGATAAAGAATAGTCCACCCTGCTGGACGGTGGTGGCGCACACCTTTAATCCCAGCACTCGGGAGGCAGAGGCAGGCGGATGTCTGTGAGTTCGAGGCCAGACTGGTCTACAAGAGCTAGTTCCAGGACAGGAACCAAAAAGTTACAGAGAAACCCTGTTTCGAAAAAAAAAAAAAAAGAATAGTCCACTTTACCAGATGCTGTGTCTGTACCCAGTGTCCCCACATAGTGACAACATTTAGAGGCTCAGAAGTGCATGCATCTCCTGCAAATACTGGTCCGCAGGAACAGCTGGCCTTACTGTGATCGGCCTAGTGGACAGTGGGTCTTAAATTTGGGACAGCAAGCATTCTCAGACCCCCTGGCGTGCTAGAAGGGGTCAGAAGGTGGACTCCTTGCTGGAGCCCCATCCTACACCATAGCTGGAGTTCAGCCCCTTCCATTGGGCCTCTCTCCAGTGGCCTCTAACTCTGTGTCTCCTTCTTTCTCCTTCTTTCCTCTCCCTGCAGTGCCATGAGGTCCTTGAACCAATCAGTCTCTCCATTGCCCATCCTGGCTCCAAACAGCTGCTTCCAGACCAGTCTCCCCTACAAGCTTTCCCAGTCCTGTCCACGTCCTCTGTCAAACCTTCCGACTCTCTTGTCTGCCACAACTTTTGGATCTCTAAGTCTTATTTAATATTTTTTTTCTCTCTTAATTACTTAGTATTGATCTGGAAACCAGAGTCCGGTTCCACTGCACAGAATTAATAGCAGGTAGTACTGATAGCTATTCATTTTCATTAATGTTAGGTCCCAAACCAAGTCATACCCTAACTGCACACTGGTCGGTACTGAGGCCTAGCTCCATCCTCCCAGTCACGCCCTCCCTCAAAAGCACCTTCCCACTTCCTTCTCCCACAGCTTAACCCAAGCTGGTTTGGCCATTTACTTACGCTTGAGGAAATGGGAAGCAGAGATAGTTAAAGATTCCGGAACTTTCTCCCACAGCACCCACCTTTCCTGGCTTTCTCCTGAGTATTTCCAGCTACTTCCTTGATTTGAAAGACGTGCCTTCAATTCAGACTTCAGGTTCTGTGTTGAGCAGACCCACCCACCTTCCCTCTAGGTTCTACTCCATCCACATGGCCTTTCCAGCAGTCCCAGTGACCCCTTGACCTATCAGGGTCTAGGTGAGGAGGGGGATACACGAACACCCACACCTGTAGGGATAAGTCCCGCCCCTTAGGGGGCGTGTTCACCTCGGGCTAATGTTGGCCTATAAATTTGGCAAGCGTGCTCCCAGCCGTCCCTTTCTGCTTTCCTGGTCTCCGCAGGAACGGTGGTTCTGTAAGTCTATTTCGCCATTAAAGCTATATATATTTTTACAATCTGTCTGCATTCGTTTACGCTGTTACACACACCCTTCTCCTAAGGGCTGCCTACTTCTTCAGATCTCATCTTGCAGCCTCTCTGTGGGAACTTCAGGGTCCTCTTCAGAGAAGCTGGCTTCCCCTGTGTGGCCTGGTCACATGGAAGCTGGTGAGCTATTGCTGTCAACAGTGGGTACAGCTTGTCCAGGCAGCCCCAGGTAGTCTAGACAGTAAGAGACATAGATCAGGAAGAGTCCCTGTGACAGACCAAAGGGCCTGAAGTTTCAATGCGCCCTTTATGCTCTCAGCAAGAGTCTGGAGAAAGAGGGGCAAAGGCCGTGTTTAGGGCAGAATGACTCTAATCAGAAGGGGCAGGGCCTGTGTGAGCCTGGTCTCTGCAGAGACAGGAGATGGTTTACCCATGCTGTCCCCTTCAGCCCTCCAACCCCTACAATCCATGGTGATGAAACAGAGGTGGGAGGCAGCGGTTGTTGGGCCTCCCTAGGTTTAGATTTCACAGGAATGGAGGCACCAAGAGCATCCCAGCCAGCCCTGGTCGCTCCCCAGAACCCCTCTTTCCTCAGGAGATGGGTCTCAACAGGCTACTGCTCCCCTGCTGAGCAAAGACTCCTGGGTAGATGGTGAAGGTGACCCTAGCCTCACACTAACAGGCAGTACCACTAGGGTCTGAGCTCAGAGTGACACAGCGTCCATAAGGGCAGGATTAGTCCTGTAGATTGAGGCTCCATCCCTGGCCCAGACAGTGGGCCGTCTGACCCCCTCCTTAGGGACAAGGCCTCCTCTTACTTGCTCAGTCCAGATTTCCGGATTCCACTGCCTGCCAGGAGGCGTCCTGAGGTGGAAATAATGCAAAGCTCTGACCAGCCCTCTCTCACTTGGAGAACTGTGTGCATCTGGCTGGGCTGATATCTTCAAACTGCACCATCCTAGGTGGCAAGGGTCCCACAGTAGGGGTAGCTACAATGTCCAGTCAGCCACAGTAGGGTTACAGCCCTCCAGAGGCCAACCAGGCTTTTTTCTTCCCACAGCTGCAGTATCCACCCCCACCCCAAGGAATCCAGAATTGTTGCTGCCCTCTTCCTCCAACAACCGGACTGAAGGGGGGTTGGGTCCCTGCAGATCCTAAGGAGACTCATCCTGACCCACATGTGACCTCGACAAGCTCCCTGTGAGTTGATCAGATCCCACATCTCAGGGCTCCCAGAACATGCCAACACACTCTCCCCGGCACAGCAAGTCCAGGCCTCCCGGCACAAGGCCAGCACCTCACTGCCAACTGTTCTGTGTACAATGGCAGGCCACAGGCAAGCTCACAAGGCCTTTGCACTCAGCCTGTCACACAGGGCCCTGCCTTCAGCTCCCTTTTCCTCCTGACTGTGAAGGCTTGATGGCTCAGGTCTTTTGTTGGGGCTGTTTGTTGTCCCTGAAACAGGAAGGTCTCCCTGGCTGATGACCTCTTGACGATCTCTGTCCACAGGCCAGTCACTGGTGGCTCTTCCTGGACCTGCACTACTGTGCCTGTGGGTTTCCCTGACTCCCTGCTGGTTCTCCTTCCACCAGAAAGAACACTTGAAAGCACAGCCTGACCTTCTAGGGTCCCCAGATCCAGACGCAGACTCTAGCCTTTCAACTCTCAGTCCCTTCCCATGCTGTCGCGTCTGGGGTCTTTTTGTACACATGCCGACCAAGTGTGAGTAAGGCATAGGCCTCAATTATGTCTCTGCTTAATGGCTCAGCCACCACTGCTGGATAGAGATCACTCTTTTCTCATCCCCTTCTGGCTCCTCTAAGTTCCCTAACTTGGTGACAGGTCCTCTTACTTTCTGTCTGTTCCCTTTTGCCCCAGTGTTCTCCTGGTCTGCCAAATGTGATGACCAGAATGAGAAATGACTTCCTTCTCTAGTTTGTTTTCTGTTGCTATGATAAAACACTATGATTAAAAACCGACTTAGGGGAAGAAACTGTTTACTTGGCTTATACTTCCAGAGGGAAACCAGGGCAGGAACTCGAAACA